GCGCTGCAGCAGAGGTGGAGTTAGTGGGGGAGAGATGGTCGATTGTGCTCTCGACCTCTGATTCCTGGTAAAGGAGGAGATTCTGCTCATCTCCTCAGGAGCCCTCTCTTTGTCTATTTACTTTAATCAAGTGCTTCTTCTCAAGCGTTTCCTTCCAGCTGTGAAATATGGACATGCAACTGGAGGGAACGACAGAGTGTCATCTGCGTAATGATTTCCTTTGGCTATTTAATCACACAGATGTATGCAGAGACACGTCGCTCCTATCAGATTAAGACAAAGTGCTCTACCTACCACAAAAAAAATCTTTCTCTCCCCTCTGACAGGAGCGTAAAGCCACAAACTACATGTTTCCTACAGCAGCTTTTTTTAGGCAGGGAGATTCTGATGAACACGCAATATGAAACTTGTTGCTATGCTCTGCAATTAGGGACCATTTTAGGTGAATTACCTCATATCAAATCCTCTGGAGACACAAATGGGGGAAAAAAAGGGCTAAATATAATGTAAGAAAAAGCAAGAAACTGCTGTCTGTATTTTAAAGTTGTATATTTAAGTCTGAGAAACTTGTTGCAGCATCGTTTCTGAGAAACGTTTTGCCTGTAGGGGAAAGTTCCCCGGTGTAAAATGTCAACTTTCTAAAAAACCACCCAACGTCAATTCACAGGAAAATGATCGTCTCTCATCATCTCACTCTTTACTGCAGCTATTCATCTGTCCACTTTATAACCTGAGTCCACTCACCGCAGACAGTCTGCATGGTGGTAGCTCGACTGTCGCAGATGATTTACAAACGTACAGGAAATCCACCTTTGTGAATAGCTCTTGGGCTACATCCATGCTGCTACGTTTTTATTTTAAATTTTAAATCACCTCCTTAAAACTGGGAGACAACTAAACCTCTGACTGTTCTAAGAGTTCATCTATAGTTAAACTCATTGAATGAGCCCACAACAAAAACTGAACAGAGAGCAGTTTGAATGTAAAATAAGATTTCATGCCCCAGAACAACAACAGAACATTTTACTCATCTGAGGTGATCGTCT